ATATACAAAACCTCCCAGATTAATGGGAGAAAAAATTGACTTCTTCATACCCAACTGATTTTTGAATTTGAAATTCCCTTGACAGTTCTTCTCACTGATTATATAATTAACCTATTTCCTTCACTACTAAAGTGCAGTTAACCCTTGATATTTGCTTGATTTTTAAATACAATACTGTCTTTTCATGGATTATTTTCATGTTTTGTTTCTAACTATTCTATACATATATGTGGTTGTCAGTGTATTTTGTTTCATGTTGTAGATTTTTCGAAAGAAACCAGAGAAATTCTCTAAGTTGACACCACTGTAAGAGAGGTGGCATAGATGATCTCTAAGATCCTGTCCAACTCTGAAACTATGGTTTTGTTTGTCCATAAGGCAACTTTTCTTCTCTTTTCTTTTTTTTTTTTTTTGTTGGGCAATGGGGGTTAAGTGACTTGCTCAGAATCACACAGCTAGTAAGTGTTATGTGTCTGAGGCCAAATTTGAACTCAGGTCCTCCTGAATCCAGGGCAGTGCTGTATCCACTGTGCCACTTAGCTGCCCCCCTTAAGACAATTTTTAATGAGGATATGGTCAATTACATCTACTCTAAGCCTTGTCCAAAGATTGTACGTGTTTATAACCTAACACAACTCAGATACTCAGATGGATCCCTGTTTTCATTGTTTTGGGAAATCCCTCTAACAATGTAGATTGTGATTTATTCATGTGTGCCCAACTCATCCTTGTTGCCTCTTGAGTTCATCACAGGAGTTCATCCAAGGTACTGGGCTCCTTCTTTGTTTTCTCCTGACATTCTTAGGGCACCGTTGGGAAGCTTGGGCTCTCCACCTTTCATCTCTTTTCATATGAGCAAACTATCTTCTTTTTCTATCATATTTTCCTGATTACATCTTTTACTCCTGTTCTTCAAAGTTCCTCCTTATATGTTGCATCCATTTCACACCCACCATGCACCTGGCCATTACCCTCTTGTGATATTCTTATTTATGATCAGAGGGTCATTGATCATGGGGATTTCTGTTGTTGCATACTTCAGGGAATCTTGAATGACTTTAATGTATGGATAGCCAACACTTAGGGTTGGAAGAGTGCCTTTAAGGCAGTGTTTTGCACTTTTTAGTATTTAAAAAAAAAGAGGGGGCAGCTAGGTGGCGCAGTGGATAGAGCACCGGCCCTGGATTCAGGAGGACCTGAGTTCAAATCTGGCCTCAGACACATTACTAGCTGTGTGACCCTGGGCAAGTCACTTAACCCCCACTGCCTAGCCAAAAAAAAAAAAATCAAAAACAACGTCACCAATAAGAGCTAACATATGGCACTTACTATGTGTCAGGCACTGTGCTAAATAGTTTACAGTTATCTTATCTTATTTGACCCCCACAACAACCCAGGAAATAGGTGCTATTATTATCTTCATTTTATAGATGAGGAAACTGAGGCAAACAGAGGTTAAGTGCTTTGCCTTAGTTACTGCTAGTAGCTTACTGCTAGTGAGTGACTGAGACCAGATTTGAACTCAGGTCTTCCTGTTTTAGGCAGGGCACTTCACTGCACCACCAGTTGCCCCAGTAGTCATAGGACCACTGGTACTTTGAAAGAAATAGGGAAGTTTGGCTGGGGGGAAGATAATGAGTACCATTTTGGGCATGTTGAGTTTGAGATATCTCCGGAACATCCAGTTCAAGATATCCGAAGGCAGTTGGTGATGCCAGACTCACGTTCAGGGAAAAAGATTGTATGGATATATAGAGTTGGGTAATTAAACTCACGAGAGTTTAATTTGATGAGGTTAACCAAGAGAGTATAATAGAAAAGAGATGGGTACAGTACAGAGCCTTGGGGAACTCCCACAGTTAGGGGACATGATATGTGTGATGAGCCACTAGTGGAGACATGAGTGGTCAAGAGATGTAGGAGAACATGGAATTAGTAGTATCTCAAAAATACAGAGAAGAGAAGATATTCAAGAGGACAGGGCGGGGTGGGCAGCAGATAGGTTGAGAAGGATGAGGACTAAGAAAAGAACTTCAGATTTCACATTTAAGACATCATTGGTAACTTTGAAGAGAACAATTTTAGTTCATTGAGGTGGGGGAAACCAGATTGCAAAGGTTTGAAGAATAAGTGAAAGGAGAAATGAAGGGAACTAGTATAGATAGTTTTTACTACGGTTTGGCTAAGAAATGGAAGAGAAAAATCCTCCTACCTTGAGGGGGATGGTAGGATCTAGTGAAGGTTTTTTTAAGGTTGGGGAAAATTCAGGTATGTTTGAAGGCTGTAGGGGATATAACCAGTAGACAAGGAGAGATTGATAATGGGGGGCGGGGACAATTGAGGGAGCAATCTGCAGAAGTAGGGAGGGATTGGGATGAGAGGCCAATGAGAAAGATTTGGCCTTGGCAAAGATCTTGGTATGATCTCTAGTTTTGAGATGAAGAGAAGAGGAGAAAATGTAGGTCATATGAATGGTCCTCAATTTTCTTAGTAATATAAAATACAAGATTCTTAGCTAAATGAACAAAAATTGCTTGTAGAAATTAATTTAAAAATCCAGGTTGGATTGATAAGAAAAGAATAACTTTGTCACCTGAGATGAAGAGTCTTTTCAGTCACTTTCATTTTAACAGATAGAGTTTTGTTTTTGCTTTATTACTTAAGCCATTTAAATTAGTTTACACATGCCATAATGCCTTGGGAATCTAATTTCCTGAAGACAGGGACTGTTTCACTTTCGCCTTTTTATTCCTAGAATTTGACATAGTGCCTGACACTTAGAACTTAATAAATGCTTGTTGATTGACTGATCTCAAAACTTCTTAAAAATCTCCAGCAAATGGAGGTAGCTAGAATTGTTGAAACAATAACCAACAGAAAAGAAATCCATCCACTGATACTTATGGTGCCTGATATGAGTTAGATTTGAAGCATTCCTCTTTCTCCTTACTCATCAGCAAAGACACCTGACAGGTATGCCTCTGCATTTCCACAGCTATGCTGCATGCCTATGATCCCTATCTCTCGGGGGAATCACTGGAAATAGGGAATTCTGGAATGTAGCAGGCTAAGACAATCAGGTGCCCACACTATGTCTGACCCCAGCCTATGGGTTCCTGTGTTTGGGTATCAGGTTGCCTAAAGAGGGACAAACCATCGTAGGTCAGAAACGGTGTGTGTCAAAGCTTCAGTGCCTATCAATAGTGTGATCAAGCCATGAGTGACCACTGCACTTCCAGACTGGATAAGATGGGAAGACCCAGTCACTAAACTAAACTAAACTTTCATAGCTGTTGCATGGGTAATCTAGTAAGAAAGCCAACTAATTGATGATGTTCAAGCTGGTAACTGCTTGGTCTAACTAACTACATGCTTCCTATGTAGTAGTTGAAAAGCTAACACACTGTTGTGGTAGGGGATTTGTATTTGAGAAAATGATCATTTAATGTTTTTGTTCTTTTTTTGAAGGGTAATTTGCTTTTACTACTTTTTAAACTACTTTTTCATATTTAAAATGCTCCCAATATTGACTACATAGGCAGTTCCTGACTTACAGTGCCCCAGCATAGAAATGGTCCATATGTTTAAAAAAAAATCTACCTTTCCAGATGCTTTTATTGAGATTGTTTTTAGATCTACTGGCCCAGCTGGAGCCCCTGAGGCAGTGGGCTGTGGACTTGTATCCCCAGTGGAGCCACTGTTTCCCCATCCTCTAGAGCTCTTACTCGATATACATAATACCAGGGCCCCTGACTTGTTTCAGACTCACAATACTAGACCAAACATGGAATGGAACCCATAGCTACTATGAGAAATATTGCTGGGGACCCTTTGGGCCTCCTGTCAAGATTGGGCAGGGGGAAAGCAATCCTTCTTCCTAGGGAAAGAGAGGATATGTGTTCTTGATATCCTCACTTAAAATTTGGGAATGTATTTTCCCATTGAAACAGTTTGATAAATAGGTTAGTACTTTCTGTGGAAAATGCATCCTGACCTGTAGACAATTGATTTATGCATAATGATGTGTAATCAACTTAATGGCCATGATAAACTGAACTCACTTTCTAAACTAAACTTTATCTTTTCCTCCAAATTCTTTCCCCTTCCAAACTTTCCTCTTACTGTCAGGGGTGACTTACTGTCATTTCCTACCTTCCCCATATCCAGTCTGTTGCCAAAGCTTAGTGATTTTACCTTCATAACATCTCTCACATATGTCCCCTTCTGTCTTCTTACACTGCCACCACCTTGGCGTAGGCTTTCATCACTTTACACCTAGACTATTGCAAAAGCCTTCTGGTTGGTCTCCCTGCCTCAGTTTTCTCCCACTATCTTCCACTCAGTTCTCAAAGGGATCTACCTAAAGTATGGATCTGGTGATGTCACCCCCCCCTCCACTCACACACACACACCTTAATAAACTCCAATGGCTCTCTATCACCTCCAGTATCAAATATAAAATCCTGTGTTTTATATTCAAAGGTCTTCCTGCCTCCCCATCCCTTACCTCTCTAGTCTTCTGAGACATTTCACTTCCTCTGTCGTACCCTGTGATCCAGGAACACTGGCCTTCTTGCTGGGCCATCTCCCAGTTCCAAGCCTTTTCTCTGGCAGTTGTCTATGGATTCTCTCCCTCATCTCCACCTCTTGGTATCACTGGCTTATGCCAAGTTCCAGCTAGAATCCAGCCCTTCCCAATTCTCCTTAAGGTTAGTGTCTTCTCTCTGTTGATTATCTCCAGTTTTTCAGTGTGTGTTTTATATGTACTTAGTTGTTTTCATATAATCTCCCCCAATAGCTTGAGCTTCTTGAGAGCAGGGACTGTCTTTTGTCTTTCTCTGTATCCTAGCTCTTAGTACACTGCTTGACAGATAACGGGTGCTTAACGAATCCTTGTTGATTTGACTTGGATAGTGGGAGCCCAAGTTGTTTTTTCTCACTCGTAATTTTAAATTGGGAGCAGATATGCATATAACATGTTCATTCTTATTTCCCTTTAGGTATTTTAAAGCAAGTAAAAGACTACATTAAAGAGTGTAGCAAATGCCAGGAGAAGCTGGATCGAGCCCGCCCAATATCAGATACTTCTGAAATGTTGGAAGAATTGGGATTAGAACTAGAATCTACTGAAGAGAGTAATGAAACAGATGATGACCAAAGCAATCCTGCATCTGTTCCAAGTGCAGTGTCCAAGACTGTGAAAAAGAAGCCAATATCCAAACATGAACTTGTATTTGTAAGTGGCATTTAACCACTGCTTTAAAATTTGTAACTATAGTAATATAATAGAGTATTTGGTCTTGGTGAATTTTATTTTTCTAAAACCACTAAGAAACTTTGGCTAATGACATTAATATTAAATGAGAAACTAGCTTTAGGGACCCAAAGTACATTTGTCTATTTACTATTACCAAGTAGTTGCATATTAGGTTGGTAAGTTAAAGGTATTCTGGTGATGTTTTTTCAACCTTCCTAAATATCCCCATTGGTTCTTCCCTTCAGAATTTAGGTAGTAAATTAACAGCCTTTTGTGGCTTTTGTGTATAGTGGTGTGGGGACAGCTTATATCTGTTGAAAGGTGTTGGTGAGTGTTGTGATAAACTAATGAGACATAGAATGAGGCAAAGAATGAGACACAGTTTTGGCCACAGCCAAGATGTGTCATTTGACGCTTCTTGATTGTTATGAGAGTTTTGTTCTTTTTCTTTTTTTCATTTCTAGGGGATAGGGGTGGAGAGTGGGGGACTGGTGCTGGCAAGAAGAGGTGGGAGCAAGAAAAATAAAAACTGAAAAACATTTTAAAAGATTTTGAAGTAGAACACTAACTTATATTAATTGATGACAGTTCATTCAAGAATGAAGAGAGATATTTTACATTTTCAAGTATAGACAGTATAATACAGCTTTTGGTCTTGAATTTCTTTTTGATAGGTTGACACTAAAGGTGTTGTGAAACAGTCTTCGCCAAAACATTGTCGAGCGGTCTTAAAACAGCTGAATCAGCAGAGACTTAACAATCAGTTCTGTGATGTTACTTTGTTAATTGAAGGAGAAGAGTACAGAGCTCATAAGTCTGTTTTGTCAGCTAACAGCGAGTACTTCCGAGACCTTTTTATAGAAAAGGGTGCTGTTTCCAGTCATGAAGCTGTGGTGGATCTGTCAGGTAAAATAAATTAAGTAATCTTTATTTTTTCTTTGTATATAAGCTTCTGGGAGACGTATATGGAGTCCAAGTTAGATGGTCTGCTGTAGTTAAGAGGGGTTAGGGAGCAGACTGAGCTGCGTTGGCTTGAACCTTTTCTCATTTCAAGTATGATGCACAGGATGGGCTTAGAAAAAGGTTTTTTTTTTTTTTTTTAATTCATTTTTTTATTCCCACCACTCAATGTATAAATACCCATGGTGATGATAGCAGACAAATTCCTGATGTTTGTCATGGGGCTTTTAGACACCATGGAGTAAAGTATAACTGTCCTTGATATGTTTGTGTGTGTCCTCAGTTATGTTGTAGCTAGCATATCACACTGGAGAAATATTTGTGTATCTGGTTTTTGAAAGCTTAATTTAGAAAATATGCATTAACAATCTAATTCAGTAAATTTTCAGTCAGATATAACCCTGGTTCTGTGTCCATTGCTTTAAATGGATCATTTGAAAATTTGCCGTGCTTTGACTGATATTTAGTGTCTTTAACTTTCCAGGTGAATATTGGAAAAATGTCGCACTTTAGATAGGGTAATATGAGCTATGTATACAATTGTAATACTTTTTAATTGACCACGAAAGGACTTGTGGCATTTTATAACATTCTATATGTATAATTGTACATTTATTTCTGATGAAATTTGCCATCCCAGTAATTGCTAGGAAAGACACAGGAGAGCACAAATGTTGGTGCATATTTTTACTGTTTTAATATTTGGTACTGTAGCATTCTTTTTCCCCTGACTTTTGTGACTGAATAGAGGGGGGAAATCTTACAGTAGGTAGACTAAACAGAATTCACTTTCAGAATGTAGTGTGTACAACACTTGGGATCATTTTCCTGCCTTTTATACATCTTCAGGCAGAACGAGAAACATATAAGGGTATTTCCCTTTTCTGCCTTTCTTAGAAAATTTAAAGCAAGTGAAAGATCTATGTGCAGGGAAAATGTTTGCTACAAACACCCGTGAAATATTATTAAGCAGTACCTTAGTGAACTACTGAAGCACACACATTTAACAATCCAAGTGCACCCTTTCATGATGAAAGTAGATAGTTAATGGAATTAACACTTCTGAATTAAGAACAATTCTTATTCACATAATTTATCCTCACAGGAGTAATTAGAAGAGAGTAAAGCAATATCCTCAGATTTGCTGATGTTTTTTATTTTTTTTAATTCTTTGTTACAGGAAATGGCTCTCTTTGTAGGAGATAGGGAGGAATATATTTGGAGATGAAGGTGATTTAAAAACAAAAGATATCAATAAATTGTTTTAAGAGAATATAACAGAAGAAAATGGGTATTTATTTTCTGTTCTATTCCCGAATGTTCATGATCAGAGCAGAGACAGGATTGTATGGGGATAGAATAAATGGTTATGTTTGACTTTTATTTTTTAGTGATGGTGATGGGAGACTGTTATATTGATATTTACACCAGCTCAATATGCATAGATCTTCAGTTTTTTGTAATTTTTCCTTTTACAATCTACCACTTTCCCCCTTTGTTCTGTACAGGCTTTTGTAAGTCAAGTTTCCTTCCCTTGCTGGAGTTTGCTTATACTTCGGTGTTAAGTTTTGACTTTTGTAGCATGGCGGATGTTGCCATCTTGGCCCGCCACCTTTTCATGTCTGAAGTCTTGGAAATCTGTGAAAGTGTACATAAACTAATGGAGGAAAAACAGATTACCGTATACAAAAAAGGTGAAGTACAAACAGTTGAATCTACTCAAAATCTACCAGAGCAGAATGGAGGTGCAGCAGAAACTGTGGGCAACATTGAAGAAGTTGTACCCCCAGAACTTGAAACCAGTACATTTGTGTCCCCTATAAATGGAGAATTTCCAGGTGATGGGCAGGAAGGTGAGAGTACCCAGCAGGTTGAATCCCAAGTTTGTTCAGAGTCTCAGTCTGTTTTAGTACAGACAGAAAATATAACCCATTCACATTCTGGAATCAAGTCTGAAGCAGTGACAAACAGCAACATGATAATTCTTGAAATAGAAACCTCAGATACCAGAAAAGATGACAGAGTTTCCAAGGCCCTTCCCACTCCTGTGGTAGAGGAAGGGAACACCAGCACTGCAGTGGACAAAGAAATGGAAAATGATGATGATAGCAAATCATTTGAAGATACCTATGCCGAGGATGTTGCAGAAGATCACAAGCAAAACCATGGCCAACCAACACAAGTCCAAGGAAGCCCTGTTGGACAACACGAGAAGGCAGCCCTCAGCCCCGATGACACTTACAAAAGCAGACTCCGTCAGCGCTCTGTTAGTGAAGGTGGATATATACGACTACACAAAGGAATAGAGAAAAAGCTTCAGAATAGGAAAGCCAATCCTAAGTCAGCAGTTCAGCAGGTATGATGATCAACTGTGTGTGCACGCTTCTCATTTTGACCTAATGTTGAAATTAATTTGTTAATAAAAGGTATGACTATAGAAAAGATGTAACTGACTTTTTTGGGGGAAAATGAGATCCTAATTGTCATTCTAAGAGTTCCAAAAAATATTAGCAAAATGGTAAAGAAACTAGGATATCAAAATTAACACTCCTTCATTAAAATGTGTTTTGTGCCCTTTAATTAGGTTGCTCTGAAATTAGTTCAAAGGGGGAAAAAAATGAAGCAGCCCAAAAGAGAGGCTAATGAGAACACAGAAGAAGAAACAGCACACAGATGTAGTGAATGTGGAATGGATTTTCAGAGACGCTATGCCCTTATCATGCACACATTGAAACATGAAAGAACTAAAGATTACAAGTGCCCAGTAAGTTTCTGCTACAAAAATTTGGAAGACAGTTCTAAATATACGATGGCCTGAATCTAATGGATTGATAGTTTTTGTTATTCTGATATGCTGGTATCCTATTTTAGGTTAATTTTTCTCCAGTAACTATTTTGTGCATTTTTTAAAAAGTATGATTTTTTTCTTGTGGATTTATTTTGGTTTTGTTTATCAAAAAGATAGTTCTTTAGTGTCAAAGGCTACAGAAAGGTCAAGGAAAATGTGGACTGAGAAAAGTATTTGGCAACTAAAAAATCATTAGTGACTTTGGAGAGAGCAGTTTTGCTGAATCAGCTAGATTTAAGGGGTTAAGAGGAGAGTGAGAAGAAAGTGGAGGCACTGATTGTAGAAGACCTTTTCAAGGATTTTAGCCCCAGAAAGTAGAAGAGGTATAGGATGATAGTTAGCGAAGATGAAAAGATCAAGGGAAGGTTTTTTGAAGATGGGAGAGATGTGGGCTTGTTTGTAGGCAGTAGGAAAGGAGCCAGTAGACATGGAGAGATTGAAAATAAATAATAAAGTGGGGAAGAAAGAGAGGGCAATCTGTCAGAGAATGAGATGGAGTGGGATCACCTGTGCAGGTTGGTCTTGGTAAGAAGTAAGGCTACCTCTTCATGTGAAACACGGGTAAAGGAGGGGAGAATGGTAGAAAGCATCTGAGTGATAAAAGCTAAGGAAGAGGGGAGAAGAACACAGTACCAAGAAAAAAAAAATATCTCCAAGTCAAATAGAAAAATTTGTTGGCAATTTCATTGTTGATTTTTTTTTTATTCTGAACTTAACACCAAATAAATTGAGCATTTCAAAGTAGAATAAAAAATGAACATTGTACATGAAACAGAGAATCTCTTATTTCATAGTTTGCTGTTTCTTTTAAGCATATAATAAATTTAACTTAGAAATTTTGGGGAAAAAATAGTTCTTAATCTTTGTATTAAGTACTTTTTTGATCTAGGTAATAGAGTGTTGCAGGCTTTTTTTTTTTAAATGAAGGTTATTCTTTATGAAAAATAGTTATAATTGATTTAGTGCTCAGAGATCATTCTTACTTTAGAATTGTTTCTTTTTATGTAGGTGAACTATCTTCTCTTCCAGGTTGTAACTCAGTGAGCAGAACCAAGTATTCGTCTTATATCTAGGTGTCTTCCAGAGCTCTATGGCAAGCAGAGGCTCAATAAATGTTCCATGATGGAGAATTTGATAGAATTTCCAATTATTTGAATTAAAATTAAATGTATTTATAAATTACTGAATTTAATTTTTTGCTTTGTAGCTGTGCAAAAAAGAATTTCAGTATAGTGCTTCTTTACGAGCACACCTCATTCGACATACCCGAAAAAGTGATGTACCTACTTCCTCTACTGCTGAAGAAGATTCAGGAGCATCAACCGAAAAGGGTCGAACCAAGCGAGAGTTTATATGTTCTATATGTGGAAGGACATTGCCCAAACTATATTCTCTCAGAATACACATGTTGAAGCACACAGGTGTGAAGCCACATGCATGCCAGGTAAGTGTGTATGCATGTGTAAACAGATATAATGTATCTTAAAAGAAAAGGATCTAAACTAACTATAGTGGCAGAATAGGTTTACTCTATTCTAATGGCAGAATAACTGTGAATCATTCTCACATATAAAATATTACAAAGAGTTTTGCTGTTGTGTGATTTGGTCAGGCCATGAGTATTCTCATGGAAGTGCAACAAAACTGATCAAATACAGCCATCAATATAGGTACCATCATATCAAAATTAAAGGACACATCCTTTCTATTAACAACCAATAATGAACTTTTCAGGAAATGTACTTTGTAAGTGGGTTTAATTGGGTGTGGATAGGAAAGAGGTGGTTATATTTAAACAAAATTTATGAAAATTTTTAAAGCTATAGATTTTTGTCTGGACTTATCAGAGCCTCCTAAAATAGATTGGTTTTCTCTGCCATCTACACATGTGGGTTCCCATTCTGTCATCCTTACGGGTTCTCTAACTATTTGGATTGTCTGGGATCCAAAGAGTATTCCTTGGGGCATCTGTGGTTCAACCAGAGTCCTGGACCTTGTATATTTCTGGTGTCCTTTTAAGTTACCCTTTCTCCTGGGAGTCTAGACTGACATGGACATCTAGCAACATAACTGATTTCTAGTTAATGAAATCACTCTATTGAGTCTATTGGATTAACAGACCTGGTGTCCATTTCTGACCCCTAACATGTATAAAATGGTGCCAATACTTAAAGTATCTGTTTCACAGAGACAGTTTGAGCTATTATCATGGTATTTACTAAGTAATATAAGGGTACCTCTGTTGTTCTTTCATAAGCAATGTGATGGGTAAAGAAGCTATATATAGCTCTGCAGACAGAACAGTCAGTCCTTAAAATCTGGCTTTAAAATAGTGAAGTCTTCTTAGTGGCTTGTGAATAATCTCTTGTTCTTCAGAAACACTACTTGCTTTCCCTTTCCTTTTTTTTTTTTTTAACTAATAGCTTTAACAAAAAACTTTTCATAGGTCTGTGGAAAAGCTTTCATTTACAAGCATGGTTTAAAATTACACCTGGCTCTCCATGAAGCACAGAAACAGTTCCAGTGTGAACTCTGTGTTAAGTCTTTTGTCACCAAACGTAGTCTTCAAGAACATATGAGCATTCATACAGGTACAAAGACCAATTATACTGAGACACTATGCATGTGTGTGAGTGTACATGTTTTTTGCTCTGGGAAAGGAATCAATACTAAAAAGCTTCCTCCAGTGTAGTAAATTATCTTATGTTGGGACAGTAAAAATTGGATTGGTTTGTTTTTGGGATAACCCATATTTTTTCCAGTAGTAAAAGGAGCTACTAACAGTGTTTTGCTTAAATAATACAGCTTGAAATAGGGTTATAACTTCAATACCTTAACGAAATTAGGTTATGCTTACAAGAAATCGGGCCATAGGCAAATAATAGATTTAACGACTAACCTAATCTTCCCAGTTTTAACATAAAAAAATTTTATAAGCCCCATCATAATAATGATTCGCACTATTCAGTAGTCATTGATTAAGAAAATATATAATGACAAAAAGTTACTATTAATTCAGTAGCACTTAAAATTATTAATCACAGTACATAAATTTAAATAATATTACTTGTTATTGTGTTTGCAAAGAGCATATTTGCTTATTTATTATGTCATGTAATGGGAAAGGGATTCAGGAGAAAATAGAGCATTTTTTGTTAATGTGTTATTAAAGTTGATATACATTTTTAAAACTACGTATAGTGAAGTTTAAGGTTTCAGATACTTTTCAGGGGGAGGTTCTTCGGTTCAGAAAATATAAGACTTTTAGAAAAAATACTATTGTCATGTCAAACATGATAGGTTTCTTATTTTAACAGGAGAGTCAAAATACCTTTGCTCAATCTGTGGAAAGTCTTTTCATAGGGGCTCGGGACTCAGCAAGCACCTAAAGAAACATCAGCCAAAGCCTGAGGTTCGAGGTTATCAGTGTACTCAGTAAGTGTTTAGAATATAAATCATTCAACTAGTTTTAACACGGTTTGTTCTGTTTGGTTATTTGACAAAAGTTTAAATGTTGTAGAATTCCTTTGTTCGCCACTTTACGATGGTGTTTTCATAAACTTATTATGTATATAAAAATTTGTTTTATACTGTATAATAACAGTGCATAAGTTTGGACCCAGAGAATAGTTGAGATAATGCACTTCCATCAATTATTTCATTGCAAGTTAGGGGACTATAAATATAAAATGTAGCATGTAATGTTGGACGTGATTAATGTGTTGGTTGGTTTTGATGAACTGCTTTTTCCATTTCTTTATAAATCTTTGTTACAAAGGATAGCATGAAGGGTAGGGAAAGCAGAGGGATATATCAAAAAAAAATGTGATATAAAAACAAAAAGACATCAATAAAAAATGAAAACTTGCTTTGAATAAGAATATGATTCAGTTTGGTGATTAAATTTCTTTATTACAGATGTGAAAAAAGTTTCTTTGAAGCTCGAGATCTCCGCCAGCACATGAACAAACATCTTGGTGTGAAGCCATTCCAGTGCCAATTTTGTGAAAAGTGCTATAGTTGGAAGAAAGATTGGTATTCCCATGTAAAGTCTCATTCTGTCACGGAACCTTATAGGTGAGTGAGCTTAGGAAAGTTCTGATTCAAACTGAGATATGACATAGTACTTCCAGGTCTGATTCTTAGGGTTTTTCTGATGTATAAGTATTGAGTAAAATCATGTATCATATTTTAGGTGCAATGTATGTGGTAAGGAATTCTATGAAAAAGCCTTATATAGAAGACATGTAAAGAAAGCTACTCATGGGAAAAAAGGAAGAGCAAAACAAAATCTGGAACGTGTGTGTGAACAGTGTGGAAGAAAATTCACTCAACTACGGGAGTATAGAAGACACATGAACAACCATGAAGGTGTGCTTAAATGTGTTGATGTAGAAGGAATGCCCTTTTGGAACTGATTTTCTCCTCATTTTCCACCTTTCTACCATTATTGTTTGTGAACCCACTGGGCTCCATCCCTTTCCTTTCTTGTTGGAAGTGACTGATGCTGTGACTCTAGAACATGCTTGTACAATCTAATCATCTTAGTTACAAGTAGAATCCTATTCTAATAAATTTGATTAAAGCATAAACATTTCAATATATAATGAAATACATTTAGCTGAACTTTGTTAAGATGGAAGACTATTCCCCACTTGACAGAGGAAGAAAGTACGCTATGATAATATGACTTCCGAAAATAGGTATTCAGTATGCACTAGGTATCCCCAAGTAATAATAAATTGTAAGGAGAGAACTTGTCTATAAAAGATATATTATCATATCAAGAGCAGTGGTATCCTAAAGTGAATTCACTTTCTCCTTATATCTGTAGCTTCTTCCATATGTGAATACAGTATCTATAGAAGATATTTTTGGCAAAATGTGACATTTCAGATGCTGTTGTGTGGTTTGAACATTTGAGATTATGATTTTTTTATTTTCATCAGTTAGATGGATGGCGGGAAAGGGTAACTAGAGAAGTCTTTTGAGATGTAGAAACCCATTAACTACTCAGACCTGCTCATACTTACAGAATGGGCTCCCTGCATAATTTCAGGTTCATCTTAGTTACTTAGGCAATTTGACCAGTACCCTGGAATGTCTTTAACACATGTCCAGGAAAAGGCTTCACATCTGGAAATTTCAGAGCCCCAAGCAAGCAGGCTTTGGAAAAATCTACCTTGTAATTTTCCCTAGTCTATGTTGACTTTCCTCCCCTGTCCCTATATATAAAATAGTTGAGAGGTAATTGCTGCTTTTAGACTCACTTTACCTATTTGTGAAGTTTTCTGTGTTGCTTATTCAGAGTTCTTAAAATTTGTTCTCACTTATCAGGAGCTCTATTATTGGCTTAAAAAGTAACAAAAACATTTAAACAAATTAAAACAGCTCTGAGGTACCATCTCACACCTATCAAATTAGCAAATATGAAAGAAAAATGATAAATGCTGGAGGGGATGAGGGAAAATAGGTACTCTTATAAACTGTTGTTGGAGTTCTGAACTGGCCAGCCATTCTGGAGAACAATTTGAAGCTACTCAAAAGGCTATAAAATTGTATATAACCTTTGACCTAACGATACTGCTACTAGATCTGTATCCCAAAGAGATCAAAGAAAAGGGAAAAGGACTTCTAGGTACAAAAATATTTATAGCACCTCTTTTTTGTGGTGGCAAAGAATTGGAAATTGAGGGGATGCTCATCAGTTAGGGAATGGCTTAACAACTTGTGGTATATGATTGTGATAGAATACCGTTGTGCTGTAAGAAATGGTGAAAGAGGTGATTTCAGAAAAACCTGGGAAGGACTTACTCAAACTGATGCAGAGTAAAGTGAGCAGAACCAGGAGAAGAACATTGTACACAGTAACAGCAATATTGTAATAATGATCAACTTTAAGACACTCAGCTACTCTGATCAATAGAATGATCCATGACAATTCCAGAGGACTCTTGATGAAGAATAGTATCCATCTCCAGAAAAAGAACTGATGAACTCTGAGTACTGATTGAAGCATCTTTTTCTTACCTTTTTTAAACAACATGGCTAATATGGAAATATGTTTTACATGATTTCATGTGTATAAAGAGTAGTGTATTGCTTGCTTTCTCAGTGGGAAGGGACTGGAAGGGAGGTAAAGAATTTGGAATTCAAAATTTAAAAAAAAATGATTGTCAAAAATAAATATCAAAACTTTATTTTAAAAAAGTAACCAAAAGCATTTAGCATGTATTTTGAACTACATAACTTCCCTAAACAAAAATTCCGTAAACAAGGATCTCTGCATCAGGTGTTCCTTAATAGCTAAATTCTTTTCCATCTTTCTCTTGTACTAACCTTCACAGAGTCAGTAGAATAAACTGGTCATTGAGAAGGTTGTAGTTTCTTGCAGTGAGAAAAAGGTCATGATCACTGTATAATGTTTATGTAATATCTTTTAAAATGTTGATATAAGCAGTAAACCAAGTCCTCAGGAATGAAAGACACTGTGGTGGATGTGGTAGCAGGGGGGTGTTTAAAAAGACAAAAATAAAATAGTCCCTACCCTCAAGGAGTTTATATTCAACTAGGTATAGACAGTTTGTACACAGAGAAGTAAATACAGAGCAGTTTGAGGAAGGAAAGAGAACTAATGACTGGGGGATCAGGAAGCTTCAAGTTGAATTTGAGTAAGAGGTGGCACTTAAATTGAGCCTTTAAAGAACTCCAGGATTCTAAGAGGTGAAGATGAATAGGAAGTGAATCCTAGCTGTGGGGGACAGCATATGCCAAGGCACAGAGATGGGAGGTGGAATGTCAAGTTCAAGGAACAACTAACTAGTTAGACCAGTTTGGTTGAAACACAGTGTGTGAAGGCAGGTGGGGAGTAACATGAAATAAATCTGAAAAGGTAGGTTGTACCCACATTGTGTAGAACTTTAAATGACCCAGGTTGAAGAGTTTGTGTTTTATGCTAAAAACAATAGTAGGGAGCCATTGATGATTTTTTAGCTAGAGAGTGGCAGGCAGTGAGGGGGCTGGACAAGAGTAGTAACTGAGTGGAGAGAATGTAATATATTTGATAGAATGTGTGGAGGTAGAATCAATAAGACTTGGAAACTGATTGGACTAGCAGTAAGGGAGGAGCAGGAGCTAGTATCAAGGAAAACTCCAGAGTTGCAAACCTGGAGAAGGATGATGGCGCCATCAACTGAAAAAGCCATAGGAAGAGAATATAAAGAGATAGTGACTTGTTTTTGGACGTTATATTTATATATAATAAAATGTGATCCATCTCCTTATGCCCATGTGACTTTATTAAAGTCACATATTATAGTGTGTAAGATATAGATCTAAGAGAGAAATCATGAATCAACATGTTTTCTCCCCAAAACATGGAATATAATCTTGATCTAATATGTTCATTTTATCAGCTACTATAAATCAGGTTAGACTTCTGTCACCTTAAAACTTAGGCCTATATGTGGCTAACTGTAAAAGTTAAAATAATTTCCTGGCAACTACTTAATATACTATTTTTTTCTTCCTGTAGGAGTTAAGCCGTTCGAATGCTTAACGTGTGGGGTTGCTTGGGCTGATGCACGTTCCCTGAAACGCCATGTAAGAACACACACAGGTGAACGGCCCTATGTCTGTCCTGTGTGCAATGAAGCTTATATTGATGCTCGAACACTCCGGAAACACATGACCAAATTCCACAGGGATTATGTGCCTTGCAAGATTATGCTGGAGAAAGATACCCTTCAGTTTCATAACCAGGGAACTCAAGTGGAGCATGCCTTTAGCATCTTAACATCAGGCATGCAAGAACAAGAAAGCAGTGGTCCTCAGGAAATTGAGACTGTAGTAGTGACCGGAGAAACCATTGAAGCTATTGAAGCTGTTGCAGCTACTGAGGAATGTGCATCAGTGTCAACTCTTTCTGACCAAAGTATTATGCAAGTAGTTAATTATGTACTGGCACAGCAGCAAGGACAGAAAATATCTGAAGTAACAGAAGCTATTGAAACAGTGGAAGTTGAAGTGGCACATGTTTCAGAACCAGAGTGAGCCCAGTAACAGAGCTAGAGGAAATTTTGGTGATGACTCTTCCTGTGCCATAAACTTGCACACAGCTTGTTTACAGCATCTGACTTACAGCTCAGAGTTCCTGTTTCAAGGATTTTTGCTGCTTGATGACGCACTATCTGCATTGCTGAACAGTCTGTCCAGCCTAAAGGTTCTGTCAAGAAGTTTCTCTCCCGCCCCCTGCAATTTTAGTTATATAGTATAGAGAAATTTGAAACAAATCTTTCTATTTAATTGTTTATCATGGTATAATTTTTAATAGATTAATTTTTATAAAGACTGTACTTAGAATTGTATAGTTTCCTGTTTTCACTTTATTTTGTATATTTTGAGCTTAAAAGGGTATTTCTCACTAGGCTTTCTGTCTTATTGTCAGGATATGGAGGTAAAATTTTGTGATTTGACTTGCCCTATTTACAGATTGAAAAGAAAATTCAGATACTAAAGCATTTTACTAATGTCTGTAGGTACATTGTTCTGTACAATAATAGCTTTTAATGTCTTAAAATCTGTAATTTGTGACTTACTGTTTAAATTCAATCCCTTCCAAGTCAAGGACTCTATTTCATTTTAAAGCACTTATTGAGCCCACATGGTTATAAATCAAGTGTGCACTTGACTATGTAGGCAATCTATAACTGAATATTTAGTCCTAGGTTGTTTTTTTTTTTTTAAATGCCATGAAATTACATAGTACTTCCAACAAAATAGGCCTTGTTTTATCATCTCTTTAAGGCAAGGAAATTGACCTGGAGGCTGGAGAGCTTTGTTATTGTTGAAATTGAACACTGTTAATGAGGAAAATCCTTCCATGTTAACTTTAGTACAATAAATGGAAAATCTTGTTCTTTTGCTATAGCATGGACAAGTCAAAACTAGGTTTGATGTTTTCAGTCATTGTATCATGTTTAATTGCTTAATTTAATTGAAAAATTGGATCAATTTAAAAGCAGAGTAGCCACCAACACATGCAATATGTTGCAAGAATGCTGCGTAATAATTAAGTTCAGTAATAATGAAAATTCTTTGCAGCCCTCACTACAGTATACTAACCTAAAAAAAATTAGCCTTTTGTAACCAACCTGATTGTTGAAAATGAATTCAATAAAAAGTAGATTACATGGAAGCTAAAAATTACATTTATTCAAGTGTGTATATTTTTAAAATGTCCACATCTGTATTCGAGTTGACCAGCCTCCCACCAAAATCCAAAATCACCAAGGGGAAGTCCTTGGTAGCTCCACCTAAGAAGCTACTACTTAAGATGTAATTATTATAATTCAACTTTTAAGTGTTTGGAACAATTATAAAATGCACAGATTTTTTAAAAGAGGTTAATTGTTCCTAAAGCACAAGAAGAGGATGTGCCTTGATGTATACACATTACCAAGATATTTATTCCAGTTTGCCTATATGACTTTAACGGCAAGGAGTAAATATGTTAGCCATGCATGCGTCAGATTTGCATACGTGATATTTGCTTTTGCAAATTTTCCCATCTTGTAATAGCTATATGGCTGACATTCAATTTTAGGAAGAAGATTTTAAAATAGTCCAGCTTTTAAAAGGCTGCTTGTTTGGAGGTTTGGGAAGGGGGCTTTTTTTTTTTAAACTCTTATAAAAATTTATTTCAATTTGACTAAAATTTGGGACTCTGTCATTTTTGTTCACACATACTCTTGTTTATGGTATTGGATTTACTGAGTTGTAAGACAAATAGACCATTAATGTATATCATAAATATGTAAATAAAACCCGCTGTTGAATCTTGTTTAAAAGCTTTGAAGTTGAATAGAGGCTTGTCATTCTATTTTTAAGCATACAGTGCTTTCTGTATTGCAAATATTTTTCTTTTTCCAGATAACATTTTGTCTGTAATTGAGCTGATCAGTTTTTACTAGGGCAAAAAAGAAATAGGAGCTTTGTGTCTTAACAAATCCTTTATTGATCCTTTATGGAAAGCTTGGGTCATGTGGCCATACAGGCTGGCTACAATTCTAACTGTTTCAAGTTAAATTTAATATTACTTCCACGTCAAATGTAATGTAAATAGTTTCCAACTTAGCTTGAGAAATGTATTTAAATGTACATAAGTTGGTATTAAGCATACAAATAAATGCTAAAAACATTTGAATATTTAAGATATTTTAATATTACCATGTGACAAATTGTTTCAGCTCTAATTATTCCATGATCATTTAGTAATTAATGTGTTAAGAAATAATCATATTAGAGAAACAAGGAAAGTAACTTCTCCCCCAAACAAATATATTTTCATGTTTTTCTTATATTCAGTGAGGGCTTGCTAATTTGAAAATTATGTTTCTCAGATAAAGATAGCTAGAGTTAAATGTAAAATAATACTGCACAAAATGGAAGTTCAAAAAAAAATCCTTCAGAAGAATTAACTCTTCTAGCCTTTTCCTTCTGTTAGTGAACTGGGTAGAACTTAGAACCTCTATTTTGAACCCTACTTTATCTTTAAATCTTAAAACCTCTACTTTAAATAAATCCTACTTTGTTAAATCATCAGTAAAAACTCATTTCCCATAATATTGTTTAATGAAAATGTTTGTTGTATTTGTTATTGTATAAAAAATACTAATAAGCAGTCTTATCCTGAATCCATTTGTAAGAAATCTACTTGAAAGAAAAAGCTTAGGTTATTAAATTAAAGATTTATAAAAATTATAAAAATTTATTAGAGAGGGATCAGTAACATGAAAATAATAAAATCTTATTTGGCATTCCATTTCTGCATTTTAAAAATGAGTGTGTAGTTTTCATATTCTGCTTTCCTTCCCTTTCTTAGAAAGGTAAGAAAGGACTTCTATAGGTTCACAGGATTGAAGTTGACATGGGGAACAACTAGGGTGTCTAGGCCACCTTGAACTGCTGTTGAGATTGACCCTGTCTGTATTTCCACCCATTCCAGCTCATACAGCAAAGACTACAATTTTGGCCATATGCCTAAAATTTTCTATTGCGTGTGTGTACCACTGTCTTGTAAAACAAAAAATGAAGAAAGGAGAACTGATAATCTCTGGCACCAAAGGTTCTGAGACTAATAGTTTTCATTTTTGATGGGTGGTAGATCACTGATAGGAAGAACCTAAGGTCTGACCCAGCAAGGCATTTTTTTAATCTATAACTCATCTATACCAGTCTTCTGTGACAATGGCACTATAGGACACTTGAAAATTGTAATATCTCATTCAATCCAATGAGCACTAGCTGTCTACCATATACTGAGGTTACAAAGATGAAATAATGCCTTAAGGTTTAGGATACATTTTCTGTACCATCTAACCCTGAGAGTTAGGTGGTGTGAATATTATATCCTCACTTTAGACGTGAAAGCTCAGGCAAAGGACACTACTCTCTTTTGGTTCTCTATATACTATTCACTTGGAGATCTCAACAGCCTGCATGGATTTAATGATTATTTTTCTGTTGAGGATTCTTGATTCTAGTCCTGGCCTCTGCTGACCTCTAGTCTCACATCTTCAACTGCCTTTCAAACCATTTGAATTGGATGCTCTGTAGACATCTTAGACTCAACATGTCCAAAACTGAACTCATTCTCTTTCCCCAAAACCTCCCCCCTTCCTAACTTCCCTATTATTGTCAAAGGCACCAACATCCTCCAAGTCCCCCGAGGCTCACAACCTAGGTTTTAGCTTCACTGTTTCTCAAATGATAGCCAGTCTGTTGCTGAGGCCTATTTTTACTTTTGCAGCCTCTCTCGAATATGACTACCTTCTGTCTGATACTGCTACTACCCTACTGCAGGCCCTCATCTCCTCGCACTTGGACTATTATAGTAGCCTGCTGGTTGGTCTGCCTGCCACAGGTCTCTCCCCACTCTAGGCCATTCTCCAGCCACCAAAGTGATTTTCTTAAAAGATTCAATCATGTCACTCTCATACTCAATAAACTACCTTGGCTTCCTATCCCATCCAGGTTCAAATACAAAACCCTCTGTTGTTCAAAGTCCTTCATAACCTAGCCCCACTTACCTTTCCACCTTGCACCATTACCCCTTCTCACCCGTATCTGTTCTCCCCCTATACTATGTACTCTTCAATCAAGTGACACTGACTTTCCAGCTGTTCCATGAACAAGACATTCCATCCCTCAGCTCCAGGCATTTTCTCTAGTCCCACATGCCTAGGATGCTCTTCCTCATCTCTGCCTCCTGACGTTCTTCAAGATCCCAACTAAAATCTTATCTACAGGAAATCTTTCTCAATTCTTCCAAATTATAGTATATTTCTTTATTAATTACATACTATTCATCCCTTATGTGGCTTATTTGTACATATTTGTTTATTTGTCTTCTTTATTAGATTGGGGTAGGGCCAGTCTTTTTATATTTCTTTATATCCCCAGTACTTAACACAGTGCCTGGCACATAATAGCCACTTAGTACATGCTTATTGACTGACAAATGTGTAAGAAGAAGGGCCATCCCCAACAGATAAATAGCTAAAAGATAACAACTGGCAGTTTTCAAAAGAAGAAAGTCAACCTATTAACAACCACATGAAAAAAATCATTAATAATAAGAGGAAATACAAATCAAAACAACTCTGAGGTTCTACTTCACACTGATTAGATTGGTAAAGATAGAAAAAGGGAAAAGACAGTTGTTAGACGGACTTTGAAAGAAAAAGCACACCGATGCATTGTTGGTAGAGCTACACTTGCATGTATTTTTTGTAGGGAGGGTTTTTATTTTGGTGGGGGGGGGTGCAATGGGTAATGGTGGGAGTGGTGATAGTGATGTAAAGAAATATTTGAAAAATATACACGAGAGAAGGTTGTACCAAAGAGTACAAGAAGATGTAGTGAATGATCATTATTACCATGTTAAATAAAATATATAAATATATGAATAAAAGAACCCAAGCTGTACATAATAGATTCACGGTCTTATGCAGAGCAGGGAATTGCAGATCACTGCCCCTGGATACAAGACTCTTAACGGCAGCTAGGTGGTGCAGTGGATAGAGTGCTGGGTCTGGAGTCAGGAAGACTCATCATCCTGAGTTCAAATCTGGCCTTAGGTATTTACTAGCTGTGCGACCCTGGGCAAGTCATTTACCTCTGTTTGGCTCAGTTTCCTCATCTGTAAAATGAGCTGGAGAAGAAAATGACAAACCACTGTCCTATCTTTGCCAAGACTGACATGAAAGGAAGCCTTCATCTGTTAGTGAAGTGGAAAGTTTTTTTCACCGTGACCTCTGAATGGTCTCCCATCTTTGGCCAAACACAGAACAATGTCAATCAGTTACTCCATTCCATTTTTAGTTAGGGCACTGTTCTGGTTTAGATGAAAAATGTTTGCCTCCATGCAACAAAACAACAGTGAAGGTTTCCCTTCATTCTAAAACTTGATCATGAAAAAGAGCTAAACACATGAGATTTTGAGAGCTGGTGAGGGTTTTTTTTAATGTTTGCCCTATTCAGAATGATTCCTTTATTAAAAAATGCTGGACCATAGTGACCTTTGCTGCATCATCAGAGCAGAAGAAACGGAAGGAAAAGCAAATACCTTGTACTTTGATGGGCTATATTCTAACCCCTAAACATTTCATACCAATTACACACTTTGTTTACTCTCTATTCTAGTTCTAGAAAACATGTTCAGTTTCAGTGGTGAAAGAACTCTAGATAATGAAGGTTGAGAGTCCTAATCTATTTTTATTTTAATATCACAGACTAGTTTAATGGCTTTGTCATATTTTGGACATAAAACTAAAAGACAAAAGTTATTTTTACTTGGTCATTATTTGCTTTGTTTTGCACAATGGAACTAATGGCAGTCTTGATGTAAATTTTAAACTAAGGAGTTTTTGGTATTTTCACTTTCATTATAATTAATTTTGTTTCTTTTCCTGTGTTAACAATGAACCAATCCATATTTCCAAATTAAAAGGGGGCATCGTACATGTAGAGTAAAACAAAGACATGGGCTTTTTAAATGCTCTTTCAGTTGATACTCAAAATTAAAGATATACTATGCTGGGAGTGCTTGAGGTGAACACCTTTTGTAGAATAGTAGTCAGAAAGTAACTTAATGCAGTACCACAGAAGAAAAGTGCATTCTATAAGCAAATGTGGGCTTTCTATCACATTTCCACATCTATGTCATATAACGCAGTTCTTATTGCATAACACAATTCATAATAATAAACTAAAAGTGTTTCTTGTGATTAAATTAAAACAGAATGCCACTTTATTTTGAGACATTACCACACCCTATATGCACACATGCCTATAGTTGAGGATGACTGAGGCTGCAAACATGGGTGATTAGAAGAATGTTGGTGACTAAACAGAAATAGATAAGTTAGGAGGAAGAGTGGGTTTTGCGGGAATGATGAGTATCTTTGGAACTTCCTGTCTATTCCCTAGGCACCTCTTCCTTATCTACTTGACTGTCAATCATCCAGCGTTTACTGAACACCTCTTGTATAACCAGATCTGTTCTAGGTGCTGTGGGGGAAGCTAGAGAAAGAGAAGATATAATCCCTACCTGAGAACACTCCTAATATGTTTGGGGACATTAAATTGTGTGATTCAGACTATAAAGGGCTATAGAAAATCAGAAAAGGAAGAGATGTCCATGAACTAAGGTAGTCAGGGAAGGGATGTGAAGGGGGTGGGGGCCAGTGGTCCAGTAATGGCTTCGTAGGGGAAGTTGCCTCAGAGGCAGCTGGCAGTGCATAGGATAGAGCACTCTACCTGAAGTCAGGAAGATCTGATTTCAATTCTAGACTCAGACACTTAATAACTGTATGACCCTGGATAAGTCACTTAAACTCTGTTTGCCTCAGTTTCTTCAACTGTAAAATAAGGATCATAATAGCACCTACTTTCCAGGGTTATTTGTGACGGTCAAATGAGCTAACATTTGTAAAAGGGCAGTGTCTGGCATACAGTAGGCACTTTGTAAATGATTATTTCACAAGAACTCACCCCTCACATTTTAGAAATGTTAGATTTTGAATGCCTATGGGACAACTGAGTAGAAATGTTTAGCAAGCAGCTGGAGCCCGTGAGCCTGGAGCCCAGGAGATATATAAGGTCTGATAAGTAGATTTGGGACTCACCTTCATAGATGTTATAATTGAATCTAAAAATTACCAAGGAAAAGTACAAAGAGAGACATGAATCCAGGACAAAGTCCAATGGTACACCAACACAAAGCGTTCTGGGCATGGATGGTGATCATGACAAGGAGACTGAGGATGTTAGTTACTTATGAGAACTGCAAGAAAAAAGTCTTATGAGAACCCAGGGAGGAAAAATATCCATAAGGACAACAATGTCAATTCAGAAAGATCAAGAACATTGAGTATTGGTAAAAGGCCATTGAATTTAGCAAGAGATAAGTGGTAACTTTGAAGAGATATAATTTTAATTCAGTGGTAGAGATGGAAGCCAGATTTCAAAGGTTTGAGAAGTGAGTAATGGAGGCAAAGAACAGTTATTTCCCCCCACTAGAAGTGTGATTATAAGAAGTAGAAGAGAAATAGGATGAAAACCTGAGGGGAAGGTAGGGGCAAATGAAGTTTCTTGTTTGTTTGTTTTAAGGATGGAGTAGATCTAGA